TCACTCAAAGCCGGGAAGGGGGCGTGGCCTGAGCTTCCATAGCCGCCTATGGAAGGAGGCGGGGCTAAAGGAAGGAAAACCTTCTCATTCTCCTCATGTTGCTCATTCATCCCCCTCAGAGAAGGAGCCAAGTGTTATTGCCAGTTCCAGTGGTACTTCATATGTCTATAATACAGGCATGGGCTAACTTGTGTCTTCCAGGTGTTTGGGACCTCAACTCCCACCATTCCTAACAGCCTCAGGCCCCCCTTCCTTTTTCCCCTCAGCCGCTTAAGCGAACTATAAATTCGCTTAAGCGGGAGTTCTGTGTGCCAAGTTTGGTTCAATTCCATCGTTGGTGGAATTTAGAATGCTCTTTGATTGTAGGTGAACTATAAATCCCAGCAAGTACAACTCCCAAATGTAAAGGTCTATTTTCCCCAAATTCCATCAATGTTCACATTTGGGCATATTGAGTATTAATGCCAAGTTTAGCCCAGATCTATCATTGTTTGAGTCCACAGTGCTCTCTGGATGTAGGTGAACATTGGTGGGGTTCAGAATGCTTTGTGATTGTAGGTGAACTATAAATCCCAGAAGGTACAACTCCCATGTGTCAAGATTCTATTTCCCCCAAACTCCACCAGTCTTCACATTTGGGCAGATTGAGTATTCGTGTAGAGTTTGGTCCAGATCCATCATTGTTTGAGTCCACAACACTCTAGATGTAGGCGAACTACAACTCCAAAACCAAAGGACACTGCCCACCAAACTCTTCCAGTATTTTCTGTTGATTGTGAGAGTCCTGTGTGCCAAGTTTTGTTCAATTCCATCGTTGATGGAGTTCAGAATGCTTATAGGTGAACTATAAATCCCAGCAACTACAACTCCCAAATGACAAAATCAATCCTGCCCCGAACCCCACCAGTATTAAAATGTGGGCGTTGTAATGTTTTGGTTTTTTTTTTTTTGCTTTTTAAGTCTCTTCTGCTGTGTTTTCAGTGTTTTTATGAGTGATGGTCACTCGTGGGCCTGAGAGGTGTGTTGTGTCCAAATTTGGTGTCAATTCATCCAGTGGTTTTTGAGTTATGTTAATCCCACAAATGAACATTACATTTTTATTTATATAGATAATGTATATTATCATTATATGTTTATGACTGAAGCATAATAATTATAACAACATATTATTATAATATAACAATATATTTTTACTTCTATTAGTATATTATTATATTTATCTTGATTAAGATGTAAAGATATTATCACCCAGCATTGTGATAAGACTTAAGAGACTAGTTTGAATCCTCCATACGAATACATTGGCTCGCTTTAATAATAATAATAATAATAATAATTTATTTATACCCCGCTACCATCTCCACAAGGGGCTCGGTGCGGCTTACATGAGGGCAAGCCCACAATACATCAGCAAAAGCAACAACAACAGTAATACAAAACAATAAAATAAAACTCATAAACAAAAATAGGCAGTAAACATCAACAATAACACAATAACATTTAAAAACCGATGGCTGGGCCAAATGTAGCAAATGAAGGCCCTCTCCCTCGTCCCCACCAATAATGCCTGTGATGGTGGTGGGAGTGCGAGCAGGACCTTTCCAGACGATCAAAGAGATTGTGTGGGTTCGTACACAGAAATATGGTCACGCAGGTAGGAGGGTCCCAAACCGTTCAGGGCTTTGTAGGTAAGAACCTGCACCTTGAATTGGGAACGGAAAATGAACGGCAGCCAGTGGAGCTCCCTAAACCAGGAGGGTTGACCGCTCCCTGTAAGGAGCACCAGTTAACAACCTGGCGGCCGCCCGTTGGACCAATTGAAATTTTCAGGCCGTTTTCAAGGGCAGCCCCACGTAGAGTGCATTACAGTAGTCCAAGCTTTGAGGAAATCACATTCTCTCAGCCTCGGAAGAAGGCCAAGGCAAATCTTTATGCAAATCCTGCCAATGACTGGTTTTGTTTTAGGGTCGCCGTTAAGTTGGAAACAACAACAATCGTCTTAAGTTATTTTGTTACTTTCCCCCGGAAGCCTTTGTGTCCATTATTGGAATGGAAAAGGGGAAGTGAATGATCCTTTTTTTGCAGTTACATTGTTGTAAACACATGTTTTCATTTCTCAGCATAAAAACAAAGCTTTCCTGTCTCAAACGCAACACTTCTCAGGCAGCATTTCTCAAACGCAACACTTCTCAGGCAGCAATGACTAGTAACCCTGGGCTGTCAGAGGAGAAGAAAAGTAAACGTCAAAAGGAAGCAAAGGTGAGCAATTTCAAAAATGATATATGAGGTGGGTGGGTGTTGAAAACAGCCAGTCCACCTGCTACAAAGGCTAGAAAATGATGCTAATTTCTCTGTGGTTGGTTTGATTTTAATAGAGCGAGGACTTTGAAATCCTGCAAAAGAAAGACGCCTCTTTCTCCGAATCCTCTCCCGCACAACCCAAAAGCGAAACCCTGGACACCATGCTGAATGGTAATGGTTTTTCAAAAGGACATCAGACACCCGTTATTCTTTTTCACTTCTATATTTATATCTGTTTTCTCATGTAAACAACACTTCTGTTCACAGACACAAGCAAAGAGATCAGCGCTTTGCTTTCACAATATGCTCACATCTTAAGGCAAGTATACTGTTTGATATCTACTTCTTTCTCTTTTCATTAACAATATATATTTACTTACACTGCCAGAAAATGCTCTTCAGTTGGAGGAAGTGTTGACTCCAAAAGTAACAATATGCAACAACATACATCCAGGAACTGGATTCCTCCCTTGGGTGTGTTTGGATTTTTCTGTTTGATATCGCTGCAAATAGTTACTGATTTACAATATATTTCAAGACTGAATTTGTCACTATAGCCACTGGGTGGGGTCATGTTCCCAGCAAAAGCACACCACTTGATTTTGCTCCAGCTTCCTTGCATGAACCTTACAAGTCGTTGCATTATTTTTACAGTGAATTAAAGTTCTTTAAAATAGAATGCTACACTTCAAAAAAAAAAAAAAACAAAGGGGGAAAGACCTGATTCCACATTGTTGACAAAAGTTGTAGAAATCAAAGGTGGATAGCTGTGAGTTTTCCGGGCTGTCTGGCCATGTTCTAGAATAATAATAATAATAATAATAATAATAATAATAATAATAATAATATCTTTATTTGTACCCCGCCACCATCTCCCCAAAGGGGACTCAGAGCAGCTTACATGGGGCCAAGCCCGAACAAAAAATACAATATAACAATACAAATTACAATCGAATAAACAACATAACAGTAAAATATAAAACATCAAAGCATATAAAACAATGTACACAAAACATAAGAACTAAGCATAATGGCAGACAAACAAAGGGCGGGCCGCATGTACATAAAATGATTTTAAAACTCCGGGTGAGATAAGGGGGGAGAACTAATTGTAAGGGCAAACTCATAGAGAGATAGGAAATTAAGCCAACCTTCATGCGGTGGGGGTGGGTGGGGGGACTCCTGGGACAAGAACATTGGAGGGGCACTAGCATAAAATTATAGCATTCTCTCCTGACATTTTGCCCACATCTATGGCAGGTAGAGGTTGTGAGGTCTGTTGGAAACTAGGCAAGTGAGGTTTATGTATCAGTGGAATGTCCAGCGTGGGAAAAAGAATTCTTGTCTGTTTGAGGCAAGTGTGAATGTTGCAATTGGTCACCTTGATTAGCATTGAATGGCCTTGCAGCTTCAAAACCTGGCTGCTTCCTGCTTGGGGAAAGCCTTTGTTGGGATGTGTTAGCTGACCTAGATTGTTTTCTGTCTGGAATTACCTGTTTTCTGAGTATTTTGAAAATACTGGAAGCCAGATTTTGTTCATTTTCATGATTTTCTCCTTTCTGTTGAAATTGTTCACATGCTTGTGGATTTCAGTGGCTGCTTTGTGTAGTCCGACATGGTAGTTGTTAGAGCGGTCCAGCATTTCTGTGTTCTCCAATAGTATGCTGTGTCCAGGTTAGTGCTCTGCCATGGCTGACTTCTCTCCCTGTCTTCCCCCAAACAAAAGATTCCCCCAGGCAGGAAACAGACAGGCTTTGAAGCTGCAAGACCATTCAAACTAATCAAAGTGGCCAATTGCAACATTATATCTGTGGAATGTCCAGGGTGGGAGAAAGAACTCTTGTCTGCTTGAGTCAAGCGTGAATGTTGCAATTGGCCACCTTGATTAGCATGGAATGGCCTTGCAGCATCAAAGCCTGGCTGCTTCCTGCCAGGGGGAATGTTTTGATGGGAGGTGTTAGCTGGCCATGGTTACAACATTATTCCTGTGGAAGGTCCGGGGTGGGAGAAAGAACTCCTGTCTGCTTGAGGCAAGTGTGAATGTTGCAATTGGCCACCTTGATTAGCATTGCATGGCCTTGCAGCTTCAAAGCCTGGCTGCTTCCTGCCTGGGGGAATCTTTTGTTGGGAGGTGTTAGCTGGCCTGATTGCAACATTATACCTGTGGAAGGTCCAGGGTGGGATAAAGAACTATTGTCTGCTTGAGGCAAGTGTGAATGTTGCAATTGGCCACCTTGATTAGCATTGCATGGCCTTGCAGCTTCAAAGCCTGGCTGCTTCCTGCCTGGGGGAATCTTTTGTTGGGAGGTGTTAGCTGGCCTGATTGTTTATACATCTGTGGAATGTCCAAAAAGAACTATTGTCTGTTTGAAGTGTGAATTTGCAACTGGCCACCTTGATTAGCATTGAATGGCCTTGCAGATTCAAAGCCTGGTTGCTTCCTGCCTGGGGGAATACTTTGTTGGGAGGTGTTAGCTGGCCCTGATTGCAATATTATACCTGTGGAAGGTCCAGAGTGGGATAAAGAACTCTTATCTGCTTGAGGCAAGTGTGAATGTTGCAATTGGCCACCTTGATTAGCATTGCATGGCCTTGCAGCTTCAAAGCCTGGCTGCTTCCCACCTGGGGAAATCGTTTGTTGGGAGGTGTTAGCTGGTCCTGATTGCAACATTATACCTGTGGAATGTCCAGGGAGGGAGAAAGAACTCTTATCTGCTTGAAGCAAGTGTAAATGTTGCAATTGGCCACCTTGATCGGCTTTGAATGGCCTTGAAGCTGCAAGGCTATTCAATACTAATAAAGGTAGCCAATTGCAACATAATATTTGTGGAAAGTCCAAGGTGGGAGGAAGAACTCTTGTCTGCTTGTGTACTCAAGGTGGCCATGAAACTGCAAGGCTTTGCAATACTAATCAAGTTGTTTAATTGCAACATTCCCAGTTACCTCTAGCGGACAAGAGTTCTTTCTCCCACCCTGGACATCCCACAGGTATATAAACCTCATTTGCCTAGTTTCCAACAGACCTCACAACCTCTGAGGATGCCTGCCATAGATGTGGTCAAAACGTCAGGAGAGAATGCTTCTGGAATATGGCCAGACAGCCCAGAAAACTCACAGCAACCCAGTGATTCCGGCCATGACAGCCTTCGACAACACATCAAAGGTACCCATGTTAACAATATTCTTTTCTCCCCCTTTCAATGAAGTGAGAAATCCGCAAGGGATGCTTCTTATGTGAAGAAACTCAATGAAATCATCGAAGAGGCTTCTTCCATTGAACAGCACTTGATTTCGAAAAGAGAAAACGTCAGGCACCGGCTCTTTATGATCGCAGGCCCTAAGAAAAGTGACAATGCGTCACCTGGCAAATGATTCGCACGGGTAGAATTGAATATCTGCTCTGTGTTAATCGAGAATGAAAGCACATTTTACGTGCTTTGATTCTTCTATGTTTATATCTCACAGTTATAAGTTGCGATTATAAAATAGTTAATTACAGTATCCTATTCTAGTGTTATGTAGCAAGAGAGAATTGGGAGAATTCTGTGTGTTTCCCCAATAAATTGTAGTAATTGTTTATTAATTATGTAATATGTTAGGTTGTTAACTGTTTTTACACTATAGCATTGAATTTTTGCTGTTCTTACTTGTTGTGAAAGCTTTGTTGTGTAAACTTTGACCCTTGTTGTGTAAACTTTGTGTAAACTTGTTGTGTAAACTTTGACCCTCTGGGTGTTTTGGACTTCAACTCCCACCATTCCTAACAGCCTCAGGCCGCTTCCTTTTCCCCCTCAGCCGCTTAAGTGGCTGAGGGGGAAAAGGAAGCGGCCTGAGGCTGTTAGGAATGGTGGGAGTTGAAGTCCAAAACACCCAGAGGGCCCAAGTTTGCCCATGCCTGCTCTAAACCATATTGTGTCACCAATTGTCACACGGGTCTTTCTTACGGTACATTGCATTATTTTGTACTTGTTCCTAAGCAGTTTCAAAAATTTGGAAAACGAAAATAAAATTTTGAAAAAGGAAGTTTAGAATTACATCTGAAAATTGCTTGTTCACACGGTTGCTCAAATCTTGCCTTCAACAAAATATTGTTTTCTTATCGCGCTTGGAAACTAATCTTCCAAGTTGGGGAAAATTTTCTTTCATTTCTTTATACAATGCCTAGAAGTATTGTTAGCATTTCTACTTTTTGTTATTATTATTTTTACATGCACATTTTAATAACACATTTTTCCTTACGGTGTTATTGTCAAGTTTCCCCCCAAATTAAAGCTATTATAGCAGATTCTCGCTTATCCGACATAAATGGGCTGGCAGAATGTCAGATAAACAAAAATGTCAGATAATATGGAGTCTCCTACTGTTACTTCTCTGATGAGGTGCTAGACACCTAGAATACTAACAAACGGGGACTCAAAGGGTTTCGGCAAGGCAATGCCTTGGGACTAGAGTGGACCAGCCGGAAGAGCCCGGATGTGGAAGAGGAGCGTGGAAATCACAGAGGGAAGGAGGGAGGGCGCTTCCGCTTCCATTCCGGCTCCCCCCCCCCCTTTCCTCTCTCCCTCCTCTTCCTTGTCTTGCCTTTTTCACTTACGGGGAATGGGGAGAGAGTTGGGGAGTGCTCCTTTAATTGAAGGGGGAATGCTGGAGGAAAAGGGGAGCGTTGGATACGACAGAATGTCGGATAAGTGAAGGTCGGATAAGAGAGACTATGGTACAGAACATGCACAATCAAGCGATAGTTAAGCGTTTGTGTTTTCCATGGGACAGACAATAATAATAATAATAATAATAACAACAACAACTATAAAAATAAAATAATAATAATAAAACAAAGTATGGATTGTCGATGTTGCAATCCCAGGTAATCCCAGGAGCCCCCGGTGGCGCAATGGGTTAAACCCCTGTGCCGGCAGGACTGAAGACCGACAGGTTGCAGATTTGAATCCAGGGAGAGTGCAGATGAGCTCCCTCTATCAGCTCCAGCTCCTCATGCGGGGACATGAGAGAAGGCTCCCACAAGGATGATAAAACATTAAGTTGCTCCTGACACGAGCAAAAAATAAAATAAATAAATCCCAAGTGACAGCAGGATTGAAGAGAAACAACTGGAAAAGATGACACGATATGAAGATTTAAAGATCGAACTGCAAAGACTCTGGCACAAGCCAGTAAAGGTGGTCCCAGTGGTGATTGGCACACGGTGCAGTGCCTAAAGACATTGGCCTGCACTTAAATACAATAGGCGCTGACAAGATTACCATCTGCCAGCTGCAAAAGGTCACCTTACTGGGGTCTTCACACATTATTCACGGATACATCACACAGTCCTAGACACTTGGGAAGTGTCCGACGTGTGATCCAATTCAACAGCCAGCAGAGTGTTTGCTGTGGACTCATCTTGTGGTGTTTCTAATAATAATAATAATAATTTATTTATTTGACCAGTCATATGACCATTTCAAAATACAACACGCATAAAAGACAAGGC